CCGAGGCGGCCGAGTACCACAAGCTGCTGGTGCAGCGCCTCAAGGAGCAGCGCGAGCGCCGCTCCGAGTCGCTGGCCAAGAAGCGCGCCGAGCGCATGGCCAGCCAGGCCTCTAAGGAGTGAGCGGCGCGGGGGTGCCCGGCGGCGGGCGCGGGCGCGCGGCCGCAGGGGGCGCTGAAGAGCGGAGGCGGCGGTGTGGAGTGGCCCCGGCGGCCCGCGCGCGCGGGTACGGGCGTGCGGGCGGGCCGGGGGTACGGGCGCGGCGGGGGCGCTCCCGTGTTTGCGGGGGCGCTGCCAGGCTCGCGCCGGACCGAGGAGCGGCTGCTGCTGCGTGGGCCCTAGCAACTGTGGGCTTCGTGGCAGCTGTGGGTAAAACCCCTTCACGTTGCGGCGCGGTGAATCCTTTCTTTCTGCCATCAGGGCCTTCTAAGCAGCCTTCAAAGCCGCTTGCCGGTGCGGGGTTGCAGGGTTTACAGCAGTGCAGCAGATGGCAGTCAACCGCGTCCCGGAGGTAGCCTGCCGCACAGGAAGCCCGTGGTGCTATCCTATACCATTCTTGCACACAAGAGCGGGAAGGAGGTCACACTGCGGGTCCACACAACTCATAAAAACACAGTCAAAGCTCAAGCAAACAGCAAGCGGCCTGTAAGCATTTGTGCAACTGCAGCAGCTGCAGGCGACGTGAGAGGAAGTGATTCGCTGCAAGGAAAGCCAGCTACGACCGCCGAACAAACATCAAATACCGAGTATGCATACGCAAAAAATAGTAAGGCTGCTTCACGCCTCCAAGCTGCAACTAGCGCCGCACAATGCGCGGCAGCTGGCCGGTCCGGCGCCTCACGCGTCCTCTGGCCGCGCCACCACCCCCACCCCCATGCTGCGGCACTGGTACATGAGCGACCGCACGACGCCCTTCATGGGCACGCCCGGCATGTCCTGCTGCTTCACCTTGGCGATCTCGTAGAGGTGCTTCAGGCTTATGTTTGCAACGGACTCGTGCCCCGGCTGCGACGCGCCGCGCGCGAGGCCGGCGGCCCGCTTGATGAAGAAGCTCGCTGGGGGCATCTTGAGCTGCCAGTCATACGACTTGTCGGCGTACACGCTGATCAGGACGCGCAGGGGGACGTCGCTCTGGAACTCTGCCGTCTTCGCATTGAAGTCCTGGAGGAGTCGAAGCAGGAGGAATTGGCTGGAATGGGGCCGACCGTCTGGCAGCGGCTGTGGTGAAGGCAGGCGCTCGGCTGCAGTGATGTGGGCGTCGAGTGTGCCTGGGGCCGTGCTCAGGCCCAGTGACCGAGTGGTGAATGGCCTTCAGCTTGTGAGCTCGCCCACCTTGCAGAACGCCATGATGTTGAGGCCTGCCTGGCCGAGCGCGGGGCCCACCGGCGGCGCCGGTTTTGCTGCGCCGGCGTTGATAAGCAGCCGGATTGAGGCGACGGCCTTCTTTTTCACGGCCGCCGCCATGGTCTCCTCTACTGAGACCGCTGATGCGTTTTAGTGCCTCACAACTCAGGCCCGGGGGGCGTTGGGGCCGCAAAAGCCGAGCAGAGTAGCGGACTAACTTGAACCTCAAAGAGCTGCGTGTGTGGTCGCACTATGGTCTAAGCTTTCAATGAATGACGTTGGCAATGGCACCCGGCTGGGTCCAGCTGATCCAGCCAATCAGATCAAGCACGACTCTTGTGTCAAGCTGGGAGCGAGAAAATTATACCTATCAATTGAGTATCAGTGGTATGGGAAACGATTCAGGACCATGCTTCAATTGTACCTGCAGGGTGTCGTTCTGCGGCCATTTGTGCTGCTCTGGTGCCGCTGCTGCTGAGCTGCTGGTGCATGTGCTGCCCACTGCTGGATGACTGGAGTGGTGGTGACACGGGTCTACACCCTGCCCTGAGCTACACCAGAACTTGTATGGAGCCCACCGTGTGCACATGCACAACCGTTATGCGAGGCTGAATCTCCTTGCATCGCACACATCCAACCCATCCAACTGGGTTGACCACGGACATGGGACTTCTTGACCAACCCCCACCAACACCTGCAAGCAGGCGCGGGCCACAGGGTCACTCTTACAGCGCAGCCCCGCGGCACGGGCGCCCATGCCCCATCAGCGCTCGTCCAGGCCCCTGACCTGGTACCCCAGCCACGCGGCCTTGACGCCGCCGACCGTGACCGCGCGCTTCTTGAAGCTGCGCATCCCGAGCGCGGCCGTGAGGTCGGGCGCGCCCGACAGCACCCACGCGTCAGCACCCGGGCAGCGCTCCTTGAGAAACCCCGACAGGCGGCCCCACGTTTCGAAAAGCTCGGCGCTTGGCGGCTCGGCGCCCATGTCAGCGCGGGCGGCGCCGCCGCCGCCGCCGCGGAAGCCGTCGCGCGGGCTGCCCCGTTCTTGATGGCGCTGCTGTTGCTGCTGCTGCTCCTGCTGCTCCTGCTGCTGCTGCTGCTGCTGCGGGCGCCGGTCGTCCTCGCCGCCAAGCAGCCGCGTGCCCCACGGGGGGTTGGTGGCGACGACCGTCGGCGTGCGCTTCGGCCGCCAGGTGCTGCAGTCGCCCTGCTGCAGCGACACCAAGTCACCGACGCCCGCAGCCGCGGCTGCACTGCGCGCCAGGCGCACCGCGCCCTGCGCAAGGAGAGGCGAGGGGACGCCGTCGCCTGGAGGCGCAGGGGCACAGGGCCGCAGCGTGGCCGACGTCCGTCCACGTCCCTTCCCCTGGGGCTGGTCGAGCGCTCGCTAGGTCAACGGGCCTCTCATCGCTCCTGAAGCAGCCCCACCTATCCGTCCGCCCAGATGCACCCGTCAACACACCCACGCGCCCCGTTTTCCCCTGGCCCCCTCACCGCGCGCGCACGCGCGTGTGCCACTGCGCGTGTGCTTAACCGCATGCAGCGCCCACCTCGTGAACGTCGTTGCCCAACAGCGCGCCGCCCCACCCCCTGCGCGCCGCCTCCGCTGCCCCCACCGCCGCCCGCCACGCCGCCTCGTCAAAGTCGTGCCACCCCTCAAACGGCCACGGCCGCGCGCGCAGCAGGCCGGGCGCGGCGTCGGTGGCGATGAGGGCGGCCTCGACCAAGAAAGTGCCGGAGCCGCACATGGGGTCGGCGAACACGGCTGGCGGCGCGGCGGCGCGGCGGCGGCGCGGAGGGGGGCGTGGGCAAGGGGACGGGTGAGGCGGCGAGGCGGACCGAGGTTTTGGGGGGTGCGTGGGGCCAGTAAGAAGGTCAACAACGGCAGGCCAAGCTGCTGCAAGAGTGCTTCGGCATACGCGAGAAGGCGGGCAGGCGCTTGCTGTCGTCCGTGCGTGCGTGCGTGCGTGCGTGTGTGTGTGTGTGTGTGCATGCGTGCATGTGTGTGTGTGTGCATGCATGCGTGTGTGTGTGTGTGTGCA